ATATACATAATATGCATAATTTTATTATTTTAAAATATATTCTATCTGTGAACTCAAAGCCTGCTCAAGTTCTGGAATGCCTCCAGAAACACTATGACCATTGCTTGTATTTCTGTAACCCACATGCTTGGATGTATAGAAGGCTTGAGCGATTATAACGTTATTCCAATTTACACCAAAAGGTTATTTTCAAATTATTCAGTTATATTAATTACACACATTAATATATGACGTTATCAAACTTTGCTTATATCCACCCTCCCCACTACCCTTTTTCTCTTCTCTCCTTTCATCCCCTTTCCCCATCTACCCTTATAATCTCTCTTCCCTAAAAATTGTATTTATGGAAATCCCTTTTTGAAGATGCTCTCAGTCCACAGCTGAATGATGTAGAAAGCACCTCTGGCAACCTCACTGTACCACCTCCCGTGGAGACATGGTGGTGGCTAATTCACTGCATCACACAGAGTCTCTCTCCTGCCGCCCCACCAGAGGGGTGTCCTCTCAGTGCTGTTGAGATGGTGACTCCCTGAGCCTTTGCTGCTGGACAGGTGGGCACCCTTTGTGATTGTCCTGTGGTAAGTATGAATCTCTGGTAGGTGGAGAAAATTTTTTCTGATCATCTTATTCTCCTACATTTATTGTCCATCTTTCTCAATTTTACCCATTTTTTGCTTGACTAGACGTATTTTCTGTATATTATTTAGATATATAAAGAGAGTGAAACTAAACTGTATTGTGGACTCAAGTTGCCTGAGTCACTTGGCTTCATAGAGGTGTACACTTTACTTGTTTGCCTACAGAGAGCAAGTGGCTGGGTCTGTGACCCTCTGTGGGTCCCTCAGAGAAGGACACAGATGGCAGCCATGCACTCTTCAGGAGCCTCTTGCAGCCCTCCTGTGCCCACGTGGGAAGTTGTTTAAGAGAAGCAGCAAGAACACCACAATGGGAGGCTCCTACTGGCAGCTAAAGTAGGAGACATCTGCAGGTGCAGAGGGATAATGCTGTGAATGAACCAAGCTCTAGCCCCAGACATACCCTTATAACCCATATGGGTGGGTGAGTAAGAAGAGAAATAAGGAGCATATATGATGTTTGAGTCTCGAGGAGAGGGGTACCATGCTCTGCTCTCTTTGGGCCAGGGAAAGAGGTAAAAGGTGTGGGGGAATCCATCAGAAGAAGGCACCTCTCTTTTCTGGGGACCAGATCTTGTGGGGTAAGAAGACCTCCAAAGTAATGGCAGGGGACCAGTGCCATATCAGTTCTAACCCAGCCTCCCAGGATTCCCATGTCCACCTGTGCCCAAGGAAGGCATGGAAGGAGCTGGGAATAAGGAGGCTCTGAGAATGCTGCTACTTGTGTAGACTGAGTTCTGAGACTCATGTCTGGCTCACTAAGGATGCTGGCACGAACTTATGCTGCCTCCAGAACTGGACCTGTCCCAATCTCCTCACCTTCTACCCCAGCCACAATACTTTGGCCTACAGAAATCAGTCCTGATCCAACAAAAGGAAAGGAAGTGACCCTGAATTGCCAGAGATAATTTTTACTCCCAGTGGAGGCTCAAAATAGACATTGAATTCAGTTTTAGAAAAACACGTTCCATTTCCTCCCCTCTTGGCACTGTGGATTGAGGTGAGTCCTTGCTTGGGTTAGTCATGTTGATGATGGCCATGATGGGGTCAGTGATAAGTGTGTTGGTCAGGTTTTCATTGTTGGGACCAAACACCTATCATACACATCTTAAAGGAGAAAAGGTCTATTTTGGCTTACAGTTTCAGAGATTTCAGTCCATGGTCAACTAGCTCTCAAGCAGAAATATAATGGTGAGAGGGTCTGGCAGAGGAGTGCTGTGCTGCTCACCTTGTACCCAGGATGAAGGGTTAGAAAGAGAATTGAGATGAGCATGGAGACAGGGTTACAGCCTTCTAAATTACACTCCAATGACTTACTTCTTCCAACAGCACATTCAGTTATGAACTCCTCAATGGATTGATCCACTGATGGACCTAACAATCTAATTTCTTCTTTAATTTCATCTGTGACTCACTGGTCTTTCAGGAGGGTGTTAGTATTGACTAACAACCTCAATACATAAGTCTCTGGGTGACCCTTATTAAACCGTATGAATAAGTAACTTTCAAGTATTGATTTTGTATCCATTCATGCTGCTGAGTTTGGTTACTAAATGTAGAAGTCTTGCAGTGGAGTTTTTGGGGTCTTCTATGCAGAGTATCATGTCATCTGCAAATAATGATAATTTAACTTCTTCTATTCCTATTCTTGCTCCTTTTATTTCTTTCTGTTATCTAATTGCTCTGGCTAAAGTTTCCAGAAATATATTGAATAAGAGTGGTGATAGTGGGCATTCTTGTCTTGTTTCTGAATTTAGAGTGCAAGTTTTCAGTTTTTGACTATTTAGTAGGATGTTGCCTATTGGTTTGTCATAGATGGCTTTATCAGATTAAAATAAAGACCATCTATTACAATTTTGGTAGAGCTTTTACCATGAATGGGTGTTGGACTTTGTCAAATATTTTTTCTACATTTATCGAGATGGCTGGTGCTGAAATCTCTTCAGAATAGTCATCATGATTTAAAAGTTTGTTTAAAAATTCTCAAGCATCAAATGTCAATCAAAACTGAAGATGAAACACTGATGAGATGAGCATGTAGTTTTGGTCCTTGGTTTTGTTGGTGAGGTTTATTACATTTGTTGATTTGCATATATTGAACCATCCTCACATCCCTGGAATAAGTCCTACTTGGTCATGGTGTATAATTTTTGTGATGATTTGATGCATTCTGTTTGTCAGTGTCTTAATGGGGATTTTTGCATCTATGTTCATGAGGGAGAATGACTTGCAGTTCTCTTTTTTGATTGGCTCCTTCTCTGGTTTTGGTATCAGGGTAATGCTTGCTTCTAGGAATGATTTTGGGAGTATTGTTTCTCTTTCAATTTTATTAAAGAGTTTGAGGAGTAGTGGCATTAGATCTTCTCTAAATTTCTTGTAATCAGCAGTGAAGCCATCCTGGGCTTCTCTTTGTTGTTAGGTTTTTAATTACATCTTCCATTTCATTGGTTGATATTGAACTATTTAGAATTTTTGTATTTTCTTGTTTCAGCTTTGGTAATTCATATTTATCTAGGAATATGTCCATTTATTCTGTGTTTTCCGTCTTATCTGAATACAGGTTCTTGAAGTAGGTATTAATGATCTTCTGGATTTCTGCATGTTCT